GCTCCACTCGTGCGTCGAAGCTGCGTCGAACCTGAGTAGAACCTGAGTCGAACCTGAGTCGAATCTGAGTCGAATCTGTGTCGAACCTGAGTCGAACTTGAGTCGAACCTGAGTCGAACAGATCCATTAGGTGGGCCCCAAGAAGGTCGCCAAAACGAGCATCGAACCGACCTGTGCGTGACCAGCGCCTCCATCACCTCGAGGATGCCGGGCGTGTGGAAGCTGCGCGCGAACAGGGCGCCGAGCACGTGCGGGGCAAAGAGCCGGCCCGAGGCGAAGCGCGGGTCGAGGTGCGCCGACTCGGGCTCGCCCAGGTGGCCGCCCAGGCTGCGCCGGGACCACTCGCCGGGGCCGCCCAGCGCGGGCGCCGCTGCCGCCTGAGGAGGAGGAGGAGGAGGAGGTGGAGGAGGGAGGAGGAGGAGGGAGGAGGAGGAGGAGGAGGAGGAGGAGGAGGAGGAGGAGAAGGAGGAGGAGGAGGAGGAGGAGGAGGAGGAGGAGGAGGAGGAGGAGGCGCGCGGGCGCCTGCGACTCGTGGTGCAGAGGCTCCGGCTGCGGCGCCTTCTTCAGGAGCTTCTGCTCGCGGGGCAGGAGCCGGAAGCTCCGCGTGCGCTTGAACTCGAAGATCATGTCGCAGGTCGGAGGCGCCATCTGGCTGACGATGCGGTACAGGGTGACGACGTCGGAGTCGAGGAGGGCTGTGGCGGCCTCGGCCGTCACGCTGCTCTCGCTGTGGCCGAGGCAGACGACGATGCTGGACTTGTCGATCCCGGCAACGAGCAGGTCGCGCCTGTCGCTGATGTTGCCGACCAGCACAGCCAGCTCCTACGGAGGAACAAGACCCAGGCCCACAACGTCGTATTTTTTCATGACGTCGACCCCCAGAGGTCCAGACCCCTGCCCTGGGACTGGTTTCTCGTCAAGAGTCGTTTCTTGACGGTCCCGTGAGGGCCCCCGGAGGCCGAAAATAGCGAAAAACCTCCCTTCGCGATTTTTTCACAGCGCAAGGAGCTCTGGCGACCTGGCATAAAGATGACCTTTCGGAGCTTCGCGCGGATCTCTTGGACTTGCGCTGAACCCCCTGGTGCGCGCAGCGCGCCAGGGGCTGCGCCGGAGGGGGCCTCCTGGGGGGTCCCGCACAGGTGCAAAACAAATCTTGCGCGGAGCTCCAAAAGTTGCTGGTTGTCCCGTCACTGCTGGTCATACAATATTGGGAATATGCTGAGAACTATCACGAATCGTATTGTCACAAAGAGTGGTAATGGTATTCCGACGTCTAGTAGTAATCATAGAAGTAGTCGTACTACAAAAAATGTGCATGCTCATAGAACCATCATAATAATAATGATAATAATAACAATCATAAGAATGACAACATGAGTAATAATAGTAATAATACCAAAAAGAATGATAATATGAATAACAACACGAATACGATGAAAACATCGTAATGGAAATACGAAAACGAAACAATCAATAGTGATAGTATTAAGTATAACAACAACAGCAGCAACAGCAACAACAACAGCAACAAAAAACAAATACAATAATCACAACAGCAACAACAACAACAACAATAACAACAATAACAACACAAATGATTCATGAAATTGTTGTGATTATCCGATCCTCGTCTGCCTTCATGTTCAGGGCGTCCTTAGAGACCTCCTAGAGGTGGTCCGAATAGACGGGGTCGGAGAATCTCGCCGCATCGCCACTACATCGGTAACGTCAGCGTGGAGAAAATCGGGCTCAGTATCGAGCCGCATCGCGGATGCATCGGCGATGCGGCACGTCCTCCGACCCCATCTACTCCGACCCCATCTGGGAGGCCTCTAGAGTCCTGCACCCCCTCTGGGGGCATCTCCGGACACAGCACGATCGCCGGCATCCGGAACGGCAGGAAAGGCGCGCTGCGCTCGGAGATGAAGCCCACCAGCTGCTTCCACGAGCCCGAGCCCTCCAGCACGAGGCAGAATTTGCGGGAGTAGGCTCTCTGCTTGATGTTCAGGGCCTTACTGGATAATCTTGCAAAACGCTGAGGGCTGTTTTCCGTTGCGCACACTGGCACGCTTCACTCGCTCTCTGCAGCGCCGTTTTCGTGCCATGGTCAGACCCGGGATCGGTGCGTGGCCCGCCTGCCCGTCTTGCTTCTGTTTCCAGCAAGCTTTCCATGCGTTTTGGGATACCCCAGTGTCGTCTGCCTGACGCCTACTTTGTGGGGCGCCATTTTTCACACGTTCTGGTCGTTCTGGTCGAGCCGGGAGCGAACAGTGCAGACCGAAAGATCACGCCAAAAATCAGATGCCCCCGGCGCCTGCTGGTGAAACTAAGCTCCGCGCCCGCTCCGCCTGCAGCGTGAGCATCCTCAGGTCGCTGGACCTGCGCGCAAAGACCCTCTGCCTCTGCAGCTGCAGCGTTGCCGCGTCCGTGGTCTCCTCGGCGTCGCCGCGCTCGGCGCCCGCGGCGTGCACGGCGGACGCCGCGGCGGACCAGGGATCCTCGGCGCTTGCCAGCGAGAAGCGCCTGACCACGCTCTGCGAGCGCAGGATGTGATTCCTGCTCACGCGACCTATAGATATCGGGGACCTCGTGTCGACGACGGGATGCTGGCTCGCCTCGTCCTCGGTGGGGCCCACCCCTTGCGCCGCCGCTGCGCTCGCCTCCCCCTGGACCCATGTCTCCGAGCCGCGGGCCTGCTGGGTTCGCCAGAAGAGATTCTCCCTCTCGGCGTCTGCGTCCTCACGCTTGAACATAGCCATCTGGTTGCTCGTAAATACTTCCGTCCAGTCTGTGGCCAGACTGGCGATGCCGTGGAGCATGAGCTCATCCTGCGCGAGGGCGAAGAAGACGATGTCTTTGCTGACAGCGTCCAGCCTCCTGAGCGGTCTCAGCACCACCACGCCTTCTATCTGCGCCGCGAGGATGCAAATGCCCTTCCGCAGGTAGGCCTGCTCCACGAACTCGCTGATGGGCCGCCCCCAGAACTCGGACTCCGGCAGCAGCCCGTACACCTCGTGGCCCTGCCCCTCGGCGTAAGTCTGCAGCCACGGGTAGGTCGCGAGCACGGGGGCCTCGATCGCCGTGTCCTCCGTCGTCATCATGAGGTTAGAGAGCATAGTGACGAGGCCCTTGCAGTGGGTCGACCGCCAGAAGAGGCCGTTCTTCATCTCCATCACGGAGAAGCAGTGCTGAGGGCGCAGGCCCACGCTCAGCGCCCTGCTCTTCGACTCCTGGGCCAGCAGCATCACCATGACCCGAGAGCGCGGGTAGCGCATCGAGACGCTCATGGCCCGCAGGATGTTCTCGTTGTCCTCCTGGATGGGGTCCGGGGCGCCGGTGGTGTCAGCCATCACGAACACCAGCTGGGCCGAGTCGCAGCGGCAGCGCGCGAGATCCGGAGGGTGCAGGGCCGAGCCGTCGAGGCACTGCACGCAGTGCCTTGTCTCCCGGTCGAGGGACACGCTCAGAAGGTCCTGAACCCTGGTCACCCGCTCGGTCCCCAGGGTCAGCACCACCAGCTCGGGCCAGGAGTTCCGGTAGGACTCGTGGAACAGCTCCTCGAGGAAGGCGAGCAGGAAGGTCTCGTCTATCTGCTGCACCCCGCCGCCGAGAAGCACCACGTGGGGCTTCCCGTAGCTCTTGTGGAAGCTGCCTGCGCCCTTGCGCTCCTGGTCCATGATGCTCATGAAGCTGCCCAGCTGCAGGGTGAACACGGTGACGCCCGACAGCATGCAGACTATCATCACTGCCTTCGAGGGCATCGTCTGTGGTGCATAATCCCCGAATCCAACCGTCGAAAGCGTCTCGATCAGCCAATAGGTCAGCAAGAAGAAATCTATGTAGCCCATGTCTGTTTCGATCCGCCCGTCGCGCAAGTCCACGGGATCCCCCAGCACTTCGAGCAACAGTATCAAGCAGGCAGCGCACACGAGGAAGCAGAAGCACTTGAGACCGAAGTTCAACACCAGCCTCCTCATCTCTTGATTTTCTGACTTACTGACACCACCCAGTGCCTGCAGCTGCTGCCACGCCTGCAGTGCCGCAACACTCCGGAGGAACTTCAGCGAGAGCCAGCCGTCTGGCGACGGCGCCAGAGCGCTCAAGAGCATGTGAGGTACCGTCAGCGTGTCCACGGCCAGCCTGACACCCAACATGGGCTGGCAGAGGAACAAAAAACAGCATAAGCTTAAACTGTCGGAGGTCTGCGCGGATCTCTTGGACCTGCTCTGGGCACCCCTCCCTGACGCACGAAGCGCGCCAGGGGCGGCGCCGGAGGCGCCACCAGGGGGGCCCCAGCGCAGATCCAAGAAGTCTGCACGGAGCTCCGAAAGTATATGTCTGTGCCGTTCTTCCTTCTTCGAGCTGGAGCTTGAACTCGCTCTGAACTCCTCGGACCAAGACGTGGACGACACAGTAAAAGCCGCCTAGGGCCTCCACCAGCCTCAGCTGCGCCAGCTGCGGCGCCCGCACGTAAGTGTCGGACACGAAGATCGCCACCTCGACCGTGGAGACAGCGATCTGCAGGGCGTTGACCCAGAAAATGAAGTCCGGGATGCGCGGCTGTGGGTGCTCGAGGCAACCTATGTATGTCACTGCGAACCGATGCAGGCGCCCTCCGACGAGGCACTTGTACACGCATCCCAGCGCCAACCACAGCACGGCCACGCCCGCGAGCGCCAGCGCCGGGATGACCAGGAAGGGCCAAAGCGTGTCCGACCAGCCGGGGAGCCCGTCCTGCGAGTCGGCGGGGGCCTCGCAGTGCCACAGGCCCGCTCGAAAGCCGTCGCCGGTGACGAAGACGTCGCCAGCAGTCTCGGCGCAGTCGGCCGGGTTCCCCACGGGCCTGCAGGTGAGTGTGCCCCCCAGCGACGGACAAGGCGAGCTCGGAAAGCAGCACCGGGCCGCCGCCAGCGCCGACGTCATCGCGCGCCCGCTGCCCCGCGGGGCACGCGGCCACCCTGCAGTGGCAGCGACATGAGGTACGAAGTCCTGGAGCCAAAGTGGATAGGGACCGCTCTGATAACGATGACGGAGGTTGTCATGATGAAGACGCTGATGGTGGTGATGATTACTACGTTGGTGACGACGATGATGATGATGATGATGATGATGATGATGATGATGATGATACTGATGATGATACTGATGATCATGCTGATGCGGATGCTGATGTCGGTAATGATGGTGATGATGGTGATGGTGATGATGATGATGATTATCACGGTGATGATGACGAAAATGGTGATGATGGCGACGATGATGATGGTGTGATGATTGAGACCGTGTCAAACATGCCATCACGAGGCAGACAGGGGCAAGGAAGAACGAGATCCCCCTCGCGATGATGGCGGTGACGATGATGATGCTTGATGACGAGCGTGATGATGATGATGATGGTGATGATGGTGATGATGATGATGGTGTTTGTGATGGTGGTGATGGTGATGGTGATGTGATGGTGATAGTGAAAATTCTAGTGATGGTGATGGTGATGATTGGTGGTGATGGTGGTGATGATGATGAGTATGATGATGACGCTGCTCGTGGTGGTGATGATGATTATCACTGTGTTGACGGTGCTGATGATGATGAGGTCGATGATGATGGTGAGAACGATGGTAAAGATGGTAGTGATGATGATGATGATGGTGATGATGGTAGTGATGGTGATGGTCAGAATCGTGCTAAACATAACGTTACGAGGTAGACAGGGGCAAGGAAGAGCGAAACCCATCCCATGATGACAATCATGATGATGATGGTGATGGTGATGATCTTGGTGGTGGTGTTGATGGTGATGATGGTGATGATGGTGATGGTGATCTTGATGGTGATGGTGATGGTGATGGGGATGGGGATGATGATGATGGTGATGGTGATGGTGATGGTGATGGTGATGGTGATGGTGATGGTAATGGTAATGGTAATGGTAATGGTAATGGTGGTGGAGGGCCATGAAATGGCTCCAAAAGAACCCAAAGACATCATTTCACTCTGGACCCCGTGGTCCCCCAGCCGTCCAACAATTTTTCGGGGAAACAGATGTCAACCACAGCAGAGCGAGCTTGGCACCGACTGTCGGGCCACGGACGCCTTGCGCTTCACAGAGGACAGGGGGCGGAGGTATTGGTGCGCTCAATTGACAGGCGCTACTGGGCCCTGAACAAAGCACGGCACTGGCGCGTTGGTCCAATGCGCCCCTCGCCACCAAGACACGGGCAACCCCCGGCAAAAATGTCACCTCCGCGAGCTGGTCGACCGAAGATGGCTCCTCGAAGATATCTCCAAGTCCGTCCGAGACCTCGAAGATGACCCAAAGATCCGCGAAGAGGCATCCCCCGAGACGGCCAAGATGGCCCAAGATGGCCCAAGAGACTCCCAAGACGCCCCCAGAGGACCCCAAGAGGCCCTCAAGAGGCAAACATAATTCCAAAACGATTAGGCACCAACGATTTCAGTACACTCGCCTTGTCGGGCTGCAGACCGCCCGAGACGGCACAAAACAGGGCAAAAAGATTTCCCGAGAGGGCCGCAAGACGGCCCAAGTCGAGCACAATAAGAAGACCAAGGAGGGCCCCAAGACGTCTAAAGATGGCCCAAGAGGCCCACAAAAGGGCTTCAAGACGGCCTCGAGGGGCCCCGGACGGCCCCAGAGCGCCCGAAGACGGCACAAGACGGCCCCAAGACGGCCAAAGAGGGCCAAAGAGGGCGACCCCAAGACAGCCCAAGATCGTCCCAAGACGGCCCGAGGGGGCTCCGGGAAGCCCCCAGGACGGCTGCTTGAGCTGTCTGTTCTTCCCGGACTCCTCGCGGTCGCCCTGGAAGTCCTCGAATTCATCGCAGCCGTTCCTGTTGCCTCTTTCCCACGTCATCATCAGCAAGCGAGGTCTACATTTCTGAAGGGGCCCTGGGGCACACAAATAAATACACACAAATACAAGGATTCCCCACATTTTCCCGTATTTTCTGGGTCTTTGTCTCTTCCCCCCACTTCCCATATTTCCCCATCTTTTCCTGGGAGTGGACGCTTCATTGTGTCTGTGTGTGTGTGTTTTTCCCCTCCTGATACATGTCATGTCCCGCCCGCCAGCCCGATTTGAGGTCCCCCCCCCGCCCGACCCGCCGGCCCGGGCCCGCCCCGCGAGGGCCCGCGAGGGCCCGCCCCGTGGGGGCCCGCCCGCGCGACCAGCAGCCCCGCACCATGCAGGGCGCTCGCCCGCCCCGCCCGCCGCGCGCCGCGCGAGCGGCGAGCCGGACGCCCGAAATGGGCACGGAAAGAACACACCGTGGGAAAAAACATGCACTGTGGGGGAAAAAAACACACACAAAAACACACACAAAACAAAAACACACACACACACACACACAAACACACACACAAAAAAAAAAAAAACATACACACACACACTCACAACAAAAAAAACATATAAACACACTATGGCCGCGGCGGCGCGGACAGCGAGGCCTGCGCAGAATGGGCCGGAGGTGCTGCTGGGCACTGTGCCCCTTCTTTCCGCACCCCCGTCGGGCGTGCAGCGACGCGTCGCGTCCGCTTCTGTGCCCCGACCGCCGGGGGCCCGCCCGTGAGAGGCCGCCCGTCCGCACGACTCGCTCGGCCTTGCCCGCCCAGGCTCCGCCACCGGGGCCCCCAAAAAGAGCCTCCTGCCCACGGCCCGGGTGCGGTTGGGGGATGGGCCGAGGGCCAACTAGTGGTTGCTGCTCTGTTTCTCTCTATTTCTCCCTCTCTCTCTCTCTCTCTCTCTCTCTCTCTCTCTCTCTCTCTCTTTATATATATATATCGCTCTCTCTCTCTCTCGCGCTCGTGCTCTCTCGTGTTATATATATATATAAATAGATATGTATATCTTTCTCTCTATCCCTATCCATCCCTCTCTCTCTTTCTGGTTTTCCCTATCTCATTCCCTCTCTATCTCTCTGTTTAGTGTTTCTCCCTCTCTCTCTATCCCTTTCTCTCCCTCTCTTTCTCTCTCTATCTCTATCTCTCTACATATATGTATGGGTATGTATAGATGTGTGTATGTGTGTCTCCCTCTCTCAATCAAACGTATACGAGCATGTGCACCTACATATACATATATCTATACACATACCTTCGGATAGACCGATGCGTATACATATAAAACTGCCTAAACACCTATACGAATACACCTACAAGTAAACGACCATGCACATGGACATAACCATGTACACATACATACACAAACACATACACAAGTGCATATACACATACAGATATATACACACATGCACACCTACAATTAAATTTGCAGGTCCCGCTAAATCTACTACATGTACATACGCGCATACATATACCTATACTTGTACATATATACAAATACATGTATGTGTGCATATACATAAGCATGGGAATAGACTTACACATGTTAACAAACATACATTCATATACATATGTACATCCACACATACATATATATACACAGATTGAGGCACCTATAAATATTCAGATGCGTGTGAACGTACCTATTCAAAAACATATCTGTATATCTCCGTACATGCACACCTGTACGTATACGTACACTTACCTGTGCATACATCTGTGTATCCAAATACAGATACATATGCATATGCATATACACGTTCTTATACATATACAAATAAATGTACGTATACAACGTGCGGTACGTAGACCTATACATATACATACGCATGGACAAATACACAGACGTAGTTGTGTATATACAGACACATATCTGCATCGGCATGTACGCACACATAGACATACACCTGTAGATCTACATAAATGTACACGTACCTAGAACCATATACACACACGTACCAAACATGTATATATATGTGTGTAGATATATATATATATCCGCGTGCGTCTACATATACAGATACAGTTGCAGAAACCTGTACATAAACATATTCATCTACATGTACACATACCTAAACATGTACAGTCACATACACATACACGCATTCACAACTATATACATGTACATGCACACATACATGCACATCTACATGTACATATACATACACAGATACGTAATCATACATATTCATACGCGTATATGCATGCACCCATATCTCCTTATATCCCGTTCTCTCTCTCTCTCTCTTTCTGTCTCTCTCTCTCTCACTCTTTCTCTCTTCATCTCTCCTTCTCTCTCTCTCTCACTCTCTCGCTCTCACTCTCTCTCTCTCTCTCTTTCTCTCTCTCTCTCTCTCTCTCTCTCTCTTTCTCTCTCTCTCTCTCTCTCTTTCTCACTCTATGTATCCCTCGCTCGCTCCCTCTCTCTCCCTCTATCCCTCTCTCTCTCTCTGTATAAATGTGTATATCTCTCTATATATATATATATGTAGATACCCCTCCCTCTCCATCATTATATATACCCTTCTCTCTCTATATATATAAACCATCTATGCACCTGTCTATATATATATATATGTATATACAGATCCTTATCTTCCTCTCCCTCTCTCTCTCTTTCTCTCTGTCTGTCTGTATGTCTGCCTGTCTGTCTGTGTCTCTGGCTGTGTGTATCTCTCTCTCTCTCTTTCTCTCGTTATCTCATCTCTCTCTATATATATATGATCTGTTATATCATACCCACCACCGTGCCTGTGGCACGCTGGTATGGTTGCTGTTAGGAGACCACTTCTGGGAGGTCTTCGCGACAACGACTAAGGCCCATTAAGCCCGAGTAGGGACTGCTAAATCGGATGATCCTTGACTACTCAGCCCAAGAGTTAACCGGAATCACCAGCATTGAACTGGACAGTGCCGGATTTGGCCTGCTTCCGAGAACGGATTTACCAGCGTTGATGCCGAATCTAGCCTCCCAGGAGTTGCAGAGTAGGAGGAGGAGCAGGAGGAGGAGGAGGAGGAGGAGGAGGAGGAGGGAGGAGGAGGGAGGAGGAGAGGAGGAGGAGGAGCAGGAGGAGGAGCAGGAGGAGGAGGAGGAGGAGTGGCATCCGAAGTAGCTCCTGGGCCTCTGTGCTGTTTGTAGGG